ATGTCCAGGAACATCTTTCCATTTAGGTTTTTAATTTCTTTCAGCAATGTTTTATTATTTTTCAATGTACATATCCTGTGCTTCCTCTGTTTAATTTATTCCTAAATGTTTTATTGTTTTTGATGTTAATATAAAAGGAGTTGTTTTCTTAATTTCATTTTTGTATTTTTAAATGGCCACTGTGCAGACATTTAACTGATTTTGATCTTATATCCTCAACCTTGCTGAACTCATTTATTAATTCAGTTTGTGGGTTTTTTTTTTTAGTGCGTTTGTAGACTTCTAAAGTCGGTCTTCCTTCCTTCCTTTCTGCCTTCCTGCCTTCCTTCATTTATTTATTGTACTAGGAATTTAACCCAGCCCCTCCCCGTTCTTTTAATTTTGAGACAGATTCTCACTTGGTTGCTTTAGGGCCTTACTAAGTTGCTGAGGCTACCCCCAAACTTGCAATCTTCCTGTCTCAGCTCCCAGAGTTGCTGGGATTACAGGCATATACCACTATACCTGACTAGGATTTTCTATACAAGACTGTGTCATCTATGAACAGAGATTTTACTTTCTCCTTTCCAATCTGGATGCCCTTTTTTCTTTTTCATGCTTAATAGTCCTGACTAGATATATTGTTGTATAGAAGTAGAAAGAGTAGACATTCTTGTATTCCTGAATAGAAGGGAAAGCAATCCAGTTTTTTGCCATTGTGATGTTACCCTTGAATTGCATGTTGTTTTTATATTTTTTAAAAAAAGTTCTTTTGAGAATCAGATTTTTTAAATTTTATTTATTTATTCTAATTAGTTCTACATGACAGCAGAATGCATTTTGATTCGTAGTACACAAATGGAGCACAATTTTCATTTCTCTGGTTGTACGTGAAGTAGAGTCATACCATTCGTGTCATCATACATGTACCTAGGGTAATGATGTCCATCTCATTGTACCATTTTCCTACCGCCCATCCCCCCTCCCTTTCCCTCTCTCCCCTTTGCACTATCCAAAGTTCCTCCATTGCTCTCATGCCTACCCATCCCCATTATGGATTAGTATCCACTTATCAAAGAAAACAATCAGCCTTTGGTTTTTTGAGATTGCCTTACTTTGCTTAGCTTGTTATTCTCCAAATCAATCCATTTACCTGCAAATGCCATGATTTTATTCTCTTTTAATGCTGAGTAATATTCCATTGTGTATATATACCACATTTTCTTTACTCATTCATCTATGGAAGGACATCTATGTTGATTCCACAGTTTAGCTATTGTGAATTGTGCTACTATAAAAAAACATTGAAGTGGCTACATCACTGTAGTATGCTGTTTGTATATCCTTTAAGTATAAACTGAGGAGTGGGATAGCTGGATCAAATGGTGGTTCCAGTCCAGGTTTGCTCAGGAATCTCCATACTGCTTTCCATATTGGTTGCACCAATATGCTGTCCCACCAGTGATATGAATGTGTCTTTTCCTCCACATCCTCACCAACACTTATTGTTGTTTATATTCTTTTTTTTTAAGTGAATATTTTATTTACATTTTAGTTTTCGGCAGTCACAACATCTTTGTATGTGGTGCTAAGGATCGAACCCAGGCCGCACGCATGCCAGACGAGTGCGCTACCGCTTGAGCCACATCCCCAGCCCTATTATTTATATTCTTGATAAGTACCAGAGAATCAAGTTTTTTTAAACTCTTAATTCAATATTATTTGGTTGATGTTTGTTTTTTAGTGACCACCTTAGGAAAATAAAATTTACATCATTGCTTCTAGATAATGTTTTGTAAGTAAACAAGTAGAGTTAGAACATAATAGCACGTCTATTTCCTTTCTAGGAGGTGAGAATTAGTGTGGCTTCTTTAATCTAGGAGGTGGGCTTATCTTGGATTCAGGATGGGTCCATGTGATACTTGCCTGCTATCTTTATTTCAATGTATTTTGTTCAGTGAATATTCTTAGAATGTCTACTCTGTGCCGGGACTGTTCTACTCATTGAGAGTGTAGCAAGAAATAAGTCATCCCAGGTGTCTACTCTTGGGGTTTTTTTTATATTTATGAATAAATGTAAATGGATTGTTCCATGTTTTGAGTATCATCATTTTTTAATTGACAAGAATTTTGTATAAATAAGGTTCTTTGTTGGTACACTACTAAATGTATGATACTACAGAATACTGATGGAAGGTTTAGGAATATATTTATAATCACAGCTACTTTTACCAGGAACTATGGAGTGTGCCTATAGTCCCGGTTACTGAGGAGGTTGAGGCAGAAAGATCACATGAACCCAGGAGTTCAAGATAACTGGGCTTAGGCAACAGAGTGGGGCCACATTAAAAAAAAAATTATAGCTGCTTTTATTTTCAGATGGAGAGCTGGTCATTAAACAGTATATACATTATTTCTGTGTTTATTGGTTTAGAACTTGCCTGATATGTTTTCCTGTACCAGATACTCTTCAAAAGTATTACAGTTTAGTAGAGAGGATAATATGTAGAGAAGGAAAGAAATGAACCAGCATTTATTTTGTACTATTTGTCAGAAATTACATTGATGCTTTACCCCTACTAATCCTCAAAATCCCCTTTTAAGGAAGGTATCATTACTATGGATTTATCATGGGGGAGCTATGCTCTGAAAAGTTAATTAATTTTCTAAATGTCACATTAGTGGTGTATACATAATTAATTAATATAGGATAGCTGCCATATTAATATGATTTTATAAGAATTTTAAAGAAGCAACAATATTTTCTAGTTGTATTAGGAGGAAAGCCAGCATATGAATTAGAAGGACATGGATGCCAAGGATGTCAGGGTATGAGAAGTTACATTCCAGTTGTAGGAAATTGTATATACATGTAAGCCCATGTGTTCTAAATATTTTTATTTCCAGCTGCTTAAAGTTAGCAGTTTAATGGCCTCTTTCTCACCAGAAGTTGAAGTGTGAGTGTCTAACCTGTGATTGGGTACAATGCCTTGAAGAGGAGTTTGGCTCAAGTTTATTTAAGATGCCTCTGGTGTGTGAATTGTTGTGGGCTGTTGTGCAAAGGCAGTAGGACCCTGAGAAGGTCCTTAAGTGAGTGTACTCAGAAGTCCTAGGCTCCTGAGGGCACAGACTCTCTAAGAATGTTTCCACTGTGCACTCAGTGGACAATGAGTACAGTGAGTTCTCTTCTTGGGAGCCTCTGGTGTGGATGTCTTTTCCCTTATTGCAGGCTTCCTGATCTTTCTTATAGCACATGGAGGTTTCCCTTGGAATTATTCAGAAACTATGAGAGAGTTTAGGTAAGAGAAATGGGTCCACAACCCAAAGTAGTATTCATATAGCTCACTCCTCCACCATACTTGGTTCCAGCTGAAATCAAATAAAAGGATTAGAACTTGCTACCAGCAAGGAAAGAAAATCCCTGCCCTACCCCAACCCACTGATTTTTTTTTTTTAAAGAGAGAGTGAGAGGGGAGAGAGAGAGAGAGAGAGAATTTTTAATCTTTATTTTTTAGTTCTCGGCGCGGCAGACACAACATCTTTGTTGGTATGTGGTGCTGAGGATCGAACCCGGGCCGCACGCATGCCAGGCGAGCGCGCTACCGCTTGAGCCACATCCCCAGCCCCCAACCCACTGATTTTTGAACAGCATTAGTACCTTCCAGCTACTCCAACAACAGTTCGGAATAGTGCCTCCCAAGATTCCTACTTTATTGGGAAGGAAACATAAGAGCTCTGTGGAGCCAGAGGACCAGGCTGTCTGCCTGAGCCCCACCACTTCCCACCTGCATATGAGCCCTTAGGCAAGGTACTTCGCTAGCCTAAACTCACTCTTCTCATCTGTTAAATAACCTAAAACACAGGATGTACAGGAAGTCGGACCATAGTTGGGACTCCATCAAAGTTAGCTACTCTCATGAGTATTATCTTTCTACCCTAAGAGCTTTGTAATGTTTTGGGAATTTTAAAGCACCATGATAACATGAGTTTTTTTCTGGAGCAACTTGTAGCGCTAGAGTTATTAAGCTCACTCACACTTGGGATCCATCACCCCCAACTCCTACTTCACTTGTGACCCACTCAGTCCATTTCCTGCTTTCATTCACCTTTGAATTTTTTTTATATTTATTTTTTAGTTATAGGTGGACAAATATCTTTTTTTATTTTTATGTGGTGCTGAGGATCGAACCCAGTGCCTTACACATGGTAGGTGAGTGCTTTATCTCTGAGCCACAACCCCAGACCTTTGGATTTATGAATAAGATTGGACTGGGAATGTAGATCAGTACTATAGCACTTAGTATCTTCTAACTACTCCAACAACAGTCTGAGGCCTTGAGTTGCATCCCTAGTGCCTCATGAAAAAAATAAAGCCAGCTCTCATTCTCCATCTCCCATAGACTAAAGAGCTGGTAAGCCTCTCAATATCCCCTCTGCCTCATTCTATCACTAGTTAGCCACAGAGATTTCTATGAGGTGGGAAGTTTAGTGCAGAATTTTAAGTTTTGAATAACCATAGCTGTCCTTAATATTCAATACTACTGTTGCTTGCCTCATCAGGTAGGTTAATTTGCATATCACTGGGCTGGTGGTGCACACCTACCATCCCAGCTACTGGGAAAGCTGAGACAGGAGGATCTCAAATTCAAGGTCAAGTCTGAGTAATTTAGTGACATTCTGGGCTTGGTGGCACATGCTTATAATCCCAGGCTCAGGAGGCTGAGGCAGGAGGCCAGCCTCAGCAATTTAGAGAGGACCTAAGCAACATAGCAAGACCCTGTCTCAAAATAAAATATAAAAAAGGTTGGGAAGGTAGCTCAGTGGTTAAGCACCCTGCCCCACCCCTACCCCCCCAAAAAAGGATTGTGGTTGTAGCTCAGTAGTAGAATACCCCTGAGATCAGTTCCTAATATAGTGCTGTGGAGACTTATATGTCAGTGATATTCACATTTTTATGAGAAATAATCAAAGACATCCTTGAGATGCATGGTTTTAAAATCTCCCATCTTTTTTCTCCTTAGGTTTCTCTTCCCTAAGTGTCTTGACCAGTGTTCACAAGGTGAGCAATATGCTTTACTTCCTGCTTGCATGCCTTTTACATTCTATTCATCGAAACAGACTATTCTACTGCTACCATTCTGAAATCTAAAACAAACCAACTCGGCCCAGAGAAAACTTTGACATCTTTCTTTTATCATATTTGGTAGGCAGATTTCTTGTCTTAATGGCAGTGAACTGCCATAGCAGCACCACTCCTGAACTCAGGTCTGCCCTGGCCTTTCAGCTAATATCAGTCAACTGAGGAGGTATTCCTAGCCTCTGGATGAATAAGATCTTGACACACTGCTTCTTTTCCAAGAGTGCAGAGTTTGACCCAGCACAAACTGTCTTCCTTAATGTCCTCCTACACACATTGGAATTTTCCACACCTCCTTGAAAACATTTAGAAAAATCCACCCATCCTGCAGGTTTCATTCCATGTGTCATTGTCCTACTACCTAGCAACCCTGGAAGCTACACTTTTAGTCATATTATCTGTGATTGCCTGGAGATGCAGAATAAATTGTAAATTCCCTGCAGTGGTATTGAAATGTTCTTTGTTGTTAAGAGATATGCCTGGGGGCTAGTCTCCCTGAGCCAGCCCAGCAAGCAGAAATCTGATGGAAGAAAACAACTCAGAGTCCTCAGCATGGTTGTGCCCTGCTGTTCCCATTGCCAGTACACAGGAAGCAGAGACAACAGCATACCAGAGCTGTTGTCTTGGGAAATAGCTAAATTGGGTGCTGCCCAGGGCAGGAGACTAGTCCCTGTCAGGGGAGGGATGTGCATGTTAGACTTCTAAACCAGGTAGTAGCTTTTAGAGACCCCTTTTACTTTCCAGGCACTATGCCCCAGAGGCAGGCTAGGAATAGAGGTTGACTGGATCCATCTATAGTGTCTACCTCAGGCAGATTAAGGAGACTATATGGAGTTCCTTAGGATCTGGTGACAGACTAGATAATGGAGTATGAGTTGGAAAAAGAGGTGTCTAGGGTAACTCCTGGGTTTCCAGCTTAGGAGACTGGGGAGGTTGGTTGTACCTGTTCTTTAAATAGAAAACGCAAGAGAGGAGACAGCCTAGGAAGGCTGTGAAAAGAAGGGGATGGTAGCTAGAGGGCAATGTTCTCAGAATTGTTATTTCTTGGGGTGGGTGTTGTTGCTCAGTGGTAGAATGCTCTCCTGGGATGTGTGAGGCAAGTGTTTGCCTGATCAATGGTACTGCCAAGACACTGGATTAGATCCTCAGCACCACATTAAAAAAAAAAGGTACTGTGTCGATATACAACTAAAAAATAATATTTAAAAAAAGAATTGTTATTTCTGGTTGAGCTTAGTGATATGGTAGCCTGTAATCTCAGTTACTCAGGAGGCTAAGGCAGGAGGAGGATGGTAAATTTGAGGTTAGCCTGGTCAATTTAGTGAGATTCCATCTTGAAATAAAATATTTTAAAAGGGCTGGGGATGCAGCTCAGTGATCCAGCACTTTCCTACTTTGCATGAACCCCTGTGTTCAATCCCCAGTACCACACACAAAAAAGAAAAATTGTTATTTCTGAATAATTTGCTCCTTCCTGTTTGCTGAAGAGAAGGGCCAAGGCCATGGGAAGATAACTAAACTTGATAGAAGTAGTCTCTAGGGGTCCAAAGCTCAGATTGGAAGTAAAGGTTGACTTAGAAAACTAGTGTCTTCCAGGGAAGTTGAAGAAGTGTTTGCCTGATTAATGGTACTAGCCAGTAGTTGTGCCAAGACTTCCAAGGCCCTGTCTTATTCTTTTTAGTGTTGGTGCCATCTTCTCCTTGGCACTTTCTCCTGCAGGCCCTCTCTACTTTTTTACATGAAGGACAACGCAGATGGTTAAGCTTCCTTGGCAGACAGCCTTAAAGAAATATTCTGTCTTCATTGTCCATGATTCTTGGGCAACCCTGGGCCTGTATCCAAAAAGGAAAGACCCTTTAGTTCGAATCCTTCTAGGCTGAGTGAGGCTGAGTTCTCTCTGGCACTTATAGGTATATTTCCTTAATGCTGCCTTCCAACATATTGTTCAAAGATGATATGTGAGCCAGGCGTGGTGGTGCATGCCTGGAATCCCAGTGATTCAGGAGGCTGAGGCAGGAGGATCACAAGTTCAAGGACAGTGTCAGCAATTTAGTGAAACTCTAAGCAGCTTAGTCTCAAAAAAAAAAAAAAAGAAAAGAAAGAAAAGAAAGGGCCAGGGATGTAGTTCAGTAGTAGAATCTCCTGGGTTCAATTTCTAGTACCAAAAAACCTCCCAGCAATATATGTCAAATGCTGTGCTTACATAAAGCTAGAGATGTGGACAGATGACCTTGAGACACCATATATACTGTTTTCTGAACAAGGGTCTCATCGAGTGGCAGTGCCTTGGTGAATACTTTCCCTTAGCATCTAGGTCCACAGGACCCTATGGTGTATCCTGACTTATCTTGCCATGGGCAGGGGGCAGTCTGAGGAGGGTGGAGATAAAAGGCAAATATTTCTTTTCTCCTTGGCCATTTGATGGCTTGCTTGGAGAGGAAATCTACCATCAGTGGGCAACTGCTTCATGTCCCAAGGGAGCATCTTGCCTCCTTTTGCTTCTGTTCATGAGTCAGGCTTGCTGATTCATTGCTTTTTAACAACAAAGGATTATTTTATGATGAGAAAAAAGGCTATGTTGTAGCCCCAGGATGACTTATTTTACACAAATCCAAGGACTAGGAAATAATCTCGATGCTTAAAACGGCAAACAAGGTTCATTATAATGCTGGCTTAGAAGCAAAGTGGAGATATTTTACTGCTGTGGCCTGCTTTTAGAAGCATATGTAGATAAAAGAAGTGAACTTCATTTTCTCCTGGACTGCTAGAGGTCTTTAGCCCAGTCTAGATGGTCAAGAAGGCTGCAAGGCTGTTTTTTTCTACTCTTAGGAACAGACCAACCCAGGCTCCCTAGTCACTCACAGCACAGATTGGTGAGACCTTGGCATAATCTGAATGTCCACTCTTTGATTCAGAACAGAAGGAAGCTCCTGGCCCAGCCAAGGTGAAAACTCACTATGGCCTGTTTATGCTCCAGATAACTGCTGTACCTGCCTTGCAGATGGCATTTCCTCTTGGCAGGTGGCAGTTTACATAGCTGGCCTAAGGAATGCTGAGGATAATCCTCTAGCTTATTTCCCTATAAAGCAAAGTCTTTTTTACATGCCCAGTTCCTGACCTAGAATCCCAACCCCACAAGATTTGTCCATATGGTACATGTGAACAGATAGGACTTTGGACAGTATATTCCTGTCAGAGACCCAGATCCCAGTCTTTTCTTGAGCTGGCCAGAGTGGGCTTGTGCTCCTCGTGTATATTGTTCAGGTGGAAAATTTGCACTAGAGTTTTACTCTCCTATTTATTTTGCACAAGGTGATACCAGAATCCCCAGGCCTTTATAGATCTTTGCTCAACCTTTTCCGAATCCTCACTCTAAGACCCACGGCAGTCTTCTTGTCTTTGACCCCTGCGAATCTTGCAGGCCACTTGTAGGATCCAGCTCCCATGGTTGCCATCCCCAGAAAATACTGAACCTTCCAGACTCCTGCCCATGTGCCATATTTGTCATGGCCTCCTGACCTTTGCTTTACTCAGTTTCCAGAGGCTCCAGTGACTTTCTGTGGCTACAGCAAGGCATGGGGTTATGGCACCAGGTTGGCCTTGCTGTTCCTCTGCAGTCTCCAGAGTGACCTTCCTAAATGGAAATGGAAACACAGGCACCACCAGTGTCCCGATACAGAGGCTTCCATGGCACTGGCCAAGGAAGGTCCAACTTTTTCTTTTTCTTTTCCTTCATTTTTCTTTTTGGTACCAGGGACTAAACCCAGGGGTACTTAGCCACTGAGCCACATCCCCCGCCCGTTTTTAAACATTTTTTTAAATTTTGAGACAGGGTCTCACTAAGTTGCTCAGGGCCTCATTAGGTTGCTGAGGCTGTCTTTGAACCTACAGTCCTCCTGCCTCAACTTCCTGAGCCACTGGTATTACAGGCATGCACCACTGTGCCCAGCAGGAAGTTCCATCTTTTTTTTTTTCTCAGTTGTCAATGGATCTTTATTTTATTTATTTATATGTGGTGCTAAGAATCAAACCGAGTACCTCACACATGCTAGGCAAGCACTCCACCACTGAGCTATAGCCTCAGCCCGGGAAGGTCTATCTTATGTGAAAATTTCTGAACAGAAAGGACACATGAGGAACCTTTATAAAATGAAAAAAAAAAAAAGAAATGAGATGTTGAGGTATTCTCCATTTGAATTACCTTAGTCATGTACTGCTAACACAACTAGGTTATATACAAAGCACTGAAGGATAGAGTTTTAGTGTTGGAGAAGCTCTTAAGAAAACAGTGATCCTGAACTGGACATAGTTGTGCACACCTATAATCCCAATCACCAAGGGGGGCTGAGGCAGAGGGATCATAAGTTTGAGACCAGCTTGGCCCACTTAAGCCATACTCTGTCTCAAAATGAAATATAAAAAGAGCTGGGAATGTGGCTCAGTGGTTAAGTGCCCCTGGATTCAATCTCCAGTGCACACACAAAATAATAAAGAGTCTTAAATTGGGTATGGTTTGGAATGTAGCTTAGAAGTAGAACACTTGTCTACTTGTCTAGCGTGTATGAGGCCCTGGGTTCAACTCCTAACACACACACACACACACACAAACACACACACATCTTTTTATTATGGAAATATATACTGAAATATTTGGGGATGAAATATTTGGATATTTGCAGTTGGCTTCAAAATCATCCAGTGAGAGAGGTGGGAGAAAAATTGGGATATTGAATAGATGAAATGTGATTAGCCAAGTCTTGCTATTTATTTATTTATTTATTTATTTATTTATTTTATGTGGTGCTGAGGATCAAACCCAGTGCTTGACATGTGCTAGGCAAGCACTCTACCACTGAGCAACAACCCCAACCCCAGTCTTGCTAATTCTCTCTCTTTTTTTTTTTTTTAAACTGGGGCCTTGTGCTCGTGAGGCAAGCACTCTACCAACTGAGCTATATCCCCAGCCCCAGTCTTGCTAATTCTTGAAGCCAGACAATGCTTGTTGATTTTACTATTTTTCTATGTTTGAAATTTTTATAGTAAGAAATAAATAAAATTACTGAATAACAAAAATTCAAATGATCTTACTGCAGAAATGCTGTATATTCTATGATTGTAACTATAAAAATAGGATTATATTTGGAAGAAGTATTATAATTATTTTGGGTTGGTGGGTTATGGTACCTTTCTGACTTAGAAATTCTCCATAGTCTTGGGAATTTTATGGCTGTATTTGTACAAAAAGGTTGTGAGGGATCTGATTGGGCCTACTTCACAACTTTTTCTTACCATATCACTATGAACATCTATCTTGGAATTATGTGGCTCCTTGGCTGTGCAATTTTTGATAATATATTGGTTAGTACATCTATATGGTTAGTGGTTGCTAAGTAAATGTATGAATGATCAGATTAACTACAGGGAATATGGAAAGGCTCCTTAATCAAAAACTCTAGGTAACAACCAGAAAGCTGAATTAAAATTGGAAAGGTTAGGAAATGAAGTAGCTACAGACTAGGAGTCAGGGGAAGAAATGATGGCTAGGTATGTCAGTGTGTGTTTATACCAGGAACCTACTGAAAGGGATGATCAGGGGAAGGAACCCACATTTGTGTGAGCTCTGAAAGCTGAACTCTTCTTGGTTTTGTTTCACAGGCCTGGTGAATAATGTGGTGTTCACCAGCCACACCACAGAACAGAGGCACCCCCTCCTTGTTCAGTTACAGAGTCTCATCAGGGCTGCCAATCCTACCACAGCCTTCATTCTTGCAGAAAATGGCATTGTCACCAGGTAAACTTTCACAGACTCCACTCTGCAGGACCAGCCCCTTTCTCAAGATTTCTGCTTTATTGGAGTTCTGATCCCACAAGGCCTTTCCATTGTATCTAAGACCTGAGCATTTATAGAAGCCAGTTTTTGAAGTGTTTTTGACGTTCTATAAAAGTCACCATGTCAGTTTCCTACACTATTTTGAGGCATTTTGTTTGGTTTTGGTACCAGGGATCAAACACAGGGACACTTAACCACTGAGCCACTTCCCTAATCCTTTTTTATATTTTATTTTGAGACAGGGTCTCGCCAAATTACTTAGGGCCTTGCTAAATTGTGGCATTCTGTTTTAAGGCATTCGTATTCCATACATTAAAGAATGGAAGTCAAGACTGTCTCAGTGTTACTTGTGTTAAGATGTGAGTGAAACTGGAAATATAACTTAAGAGCACTTGCCTAGCATGCACAATGTGGGTTCAGTCCCACATACTAGGAGGGAAAAATATATGAGAGAAATGGCATAAAAACATAGAGAAATTATCTCTTTATGTCAATTTTGGGTCCAAATAATAAACTTAAAGAATTAGTGAATTTGTATGTATACATATGTAAAGAGAAAATACCAGTGATGAAGCAATTCAGTTTGCTCAATTAAGATACTAAAAGGTATATGGCAGTTTATATAGTTTTGACTTTCAAACCATGTAAGTATTTCATATATTCAAAAATTAAATCAAGCCTAAATCAGGCACCAAGGCATATACCTGTAATCCTAGAGACTGGAGGCTGAGGCTGGAGGATCACAAGTTCGAGATCAGCCTTGGCAACTTAGCACGATCTGTCTCAAAATAAAATAAAAAGGGCCAGGGATGTAGCACAACATGAGGTTCTGGGGTTTGATTCATTATCCCCCCCCAAAAAATAATTAAATGGCTGGAAGTATAGTTTAGTATTAGAGTACTTGCCGTGTGTGTGTGTGTGTGTGTGTGTGTGTGTGTGTGTGTGTGAGAGAGACACTGAGTTCAATCCCTAGCACCACCAAAAAAACACATTTTTTTAGATGGAGGGCCTGGGGATATAGCTCATTTGGTAGAGTGCTTGCCTTGCATGCACAAAGCCCGGGTTCAATCCCCAGCACCCCCCACACACACACAAAAAATCAAGTGGAGAGGAAGGAAAAATTAAATATGAACCAAAAATATGAATCTGTGAGTACATCAAAATAACAACAATATGAGCAAAGGAATAACTAAGGTAGTTTTTTAACATCATCCTCTGTTGAAACCCTGATTGCAGATAGCATCACTGATCCAAGAAGAGAGATTATAAATATGAAATGGGGAAGGTGAGGAAAACCTTTCAAGTGTTGGATTTGAGTTGGGTACTCAACATAAGTTCATTATTTTTAAAAAATGTGCATTTCCTTGCTCTTTTCATTGAACGAGACCAAAATAGTAATACCATAGTAGTAATAAATGCCCCTACCTTCGGATCTTGGTTTGTAAGTATCATTGCCCATCATAGTTACCAGACAAAACTCCTTGGAGAATTGACTGATTGGAGGGAAAGTACAAGGCAAGCCTGGTCCATTTTATGCGAGTAAAGCTTGGAAGTGCTCAAAGATCAGTGAAGATGTGTCAAAACAATATGGGAACTAGGTTAAAAAGCTCCTACAAGTCAAATTTGGGACAACTTGAGGATAATAAATAACAATAATAATATACTAAATGGAGAGAAGTAGAGACAACAAAATCTTTATAGAAGAGCCAAATAAATAAGAATTGACTGAAAATTAGCATTTGGGGTTGGAGATGTAGCTGAGTAATAAGAGTAATTGCCGAGCATGTGCTAGGCCCTGAATTCAATCCCCAGCCCACAAAATAAATAAATAGAAGAAAAATTTAAAATCTCCAGTTTAATACTTGACTTAGGGAAGATCATCAATGGGTGCTAACAGCAGTGGGTAAAAGATCATGGAGGAAAACAATATTCACTAGTTCTCACTGTCTAAAGTGTTACTCCATAGACTACTTAGAAAAATAGGAAAGTACCTTTATATTGGCAAGGTCTGGTAGACACTATGTTAACCGAATGATTGAACCTAGTAAAACCTATAGTAGGACAAATTGATAGTGCCTCCTTGATATGAGTTAGTAGGAACATAACCTAGGAATTAATCTTCACCAAAAGCATTTAACCTGAAGCTAATTATGAGAAAACAATCAGATAAATCTAAATTGTGGGTATTGGCAAAATTATATTGTTACATTGTGTGCATGTATGAAAATGTAACAACAACTTTAATCATTATGTAACAATTATAATGAACCAATTAAAAAATGTGTGTGTGGCGGGGGGACACATTGTGGGCACAAGATAACTGGTCAGCAAGGCACAGTGGTGCAGGCCTGTATGTAATTCCAGTGGCTCAGGAGGTGGAAGCAGGAGGATTGCAAGTTTGAGGCCAGCCTCAGCAATTTAGGCCCTAAGCAATTTAGTGAGACCCACCCTGTCTCAAAATGAACAAACAAAAAGGGCTGAAGATATGACTTAGTGGTAAAGCACCTGTGGGTTCAATTCCCAGTACCAAAAGAAAAAAAATTGTCAACAACTATGAAAAATAAAGGGAAAAAGTAAGGAAATATCCCATATTGAAGGAGAGTAAAGATTTTAAATTATTTTAGTGGGGTGGGGGGTACCAGAAATTGAACTCAGGGGCACTCAACCATTGAGCCACATTCCCAACCCTATTTTGTATTTGATTTAGAGGCAGGGTCTCACTGAGTTGCTTATTAGCACCTCGCTTTTGCTGAGGCTGGCTTTGAACTAGAAATCCTCCTGCCTCAGGCTCCCAAGCCATTGGGATTACAGGTGTGCACCACTGTGCCTGGCAAGATTATAAATTTAATGAGTGATCCTTGATTGAATCTTGGCCCCTCTTTCTCACACACACACACACAAAATTGGAAACAGATGAATATTGAGTCAGCACCTCTCTAATTTTTAAAAAATATTTTTAGTTGTAGATATTCACAATATTTTGTTTATTTAGTTTTTTTTATGTGGTGCCAGAGATTGAACCCAGTGCCTCACATGTGCTAGGCAAGCACTCTACTACTGAGCCACAACCCCAGGCCATCCTATTTTATCATATAAATGAATCTCTTGGGAATCTTGTTAAAATTAATTTCTAATTCAGTGGATCTGGAGTAGGACCTGAGATTTCACATTTCTAATAAGCTCCCATGTGATACCACTGCTGATCATATATAATATTACATTCCTTGGGTGTGATAAAAGCATGGTGGTCCTGTAAGAGAATACCCTTGTTCTTAGGAAATGCACACTGAATGTCATGATGCTTACAAGTGATTTTCACATGGTTTGACAGAAAAAAATTACATGCATGTGTGCTTATGTATATGTGGGGGTGTAGAGAAGAAGCAAATTATGCGGGTTAAGATTGACAATTCTAGGGCTGGGGATGTGGCTCAAG